GGGGAGTGGCGAATGGTTGACTTGGTCCCCTACTTTCTCCCAGCCCAGATGGGCACAGTCCACCCAGGTATCAGTGGTAGCCTGGAAGGGAGCTTCCCAGAGAAAGTTCTCTGTGTCCTCTTTGGGGGTATGGGGTGGACAGTGGCCCCTTCTGTGTAACCTATTATATGGACCCCATTTTGCATATGAAGTGGTTAAGTTGTTAGCCCAAAGCTGTGCAGCTAGGGCCCCAAATAGGAGGCCTGACACTTGCTTGTCCTTCAACCCCTGTGGCTTTCTGCTTCTGGTGGTGGGGGCTGGTGGTAAGCATCCTGGGTTTTCCACTGCAGTTGATCTTCATGAAGACATGGAAGCCACAAAACCTTCACAACTACCTGGGACTGGGAGAGACCTATCAGATTGCTCTTCCTACATTACAAACCACAGAGCCCAGGCAAACCCATCTACTGTCTGGAGACCAGCTGGCTTCCTCTGTGACCCCCGTCCTCCCCACAAAACAATTGTTCACTGAAATTAAAGTGGTGATGAGGCTTCCTCTAACTTAAAGCAATTGACACATGGGAAGACAGAGAAAATTCCACGTCTGCTTTTAGTAAAATATACTTTTCTCATCAAAGTATTTTGATAGCACAGGAAAAGAGATGTGTGCTCATTAAATTTTAATGACTGTCTACCCCTGCCATTTTCCATATGAGGATCGCAGACCACGACTCATGCACAGTAGGTGCTGGGAATAGTTAACTGGGAACAGATTTAACTCAAATACAATCTTCATTGCCATGGGATGAATGGAGGTCAAATGAAGTCCATGAGGATGGAAGAACAGGTAGCCACAGACCTGAGTGTTTTTCTAGACATGCCATGGCTTCGGATAGGTGGGCCAATACTGCTCTAGTTCATACTATATTTGCTTGACCCCCCCCAAAAAAATGGGAGTTAGAAAAGAGGGACTGAATTCTAGCTTCAAGGCAACTCCAGTTCCAACACTGAGCTGGAGACTGCAGAGGACAATACTTTGGGCAAAGGATTTGAAGAGAAGGAAGGGAGAGTTCTTGGGAGGGCAGAATTGACAAGCTCATCATGGCCACTCTCCGAAATCTTTATAGAAACCTCTTTGTCCACAGAGTCAATCACGAAGCACTTATCCACGAAGTTTAGACCCTCTTCAAAGTGGCCTGAAGCCACCTTGCTGGGGTTACCACTCACTCATGTGCAGCTACCAATCTCTTCTGCTGAAGTGGACTTCCTGCTGCTCCCTACACTTGCTGTCCACTTCTCCTGCCCTTGCTCATGTTTTTTCTGGCATCTGTCATGGCCTCTCCACCTATCTCTATTGGTTGAGTGTTTTCTACTCATTGAGGATCATTGCTACTTTGACGTCCATAATTCTGGATGCTCCTCTCCACTTCAGCTCATGTGACCTATCCACCCTTGCACCACTCAAGCCCTTTTGTCACAAGTCACCACCTCTGCTTCCTGTGGGGGCTCCAATGTGACAGCAGTGTAGCCTCATGGTCACCTGCATATACTTCTGAGTCAGAATGACCTGTTCTGGAAGCTTTCTCCTTCCCTGACAAGGTGGATGATTGTGGGCCAGTCCCTTACGAGCAGATGTAATTGCAGTAATAACATCAGCCCGCATACACTGGCATTACTGTGACTCAGGTGTTAGATATTGTGGGCTCACTCAATACCACAAGAACTCTATAAAGTGAATATTTCCATCCCCCGTGTCACACAGATGGGAGAACAGAATCTTAGGGAGGTCCAGTGATTTGGCCAGTGTTCCATAGGTATTATGTTGAGAAAGCAGGCTTTGTATTTAGATAGTTGGGGTCCAAAGCCCATATTTTGAGCACTGTGCAACATGGAACTATGCTTTCCAGGCCTCTGCAAGACAAAGGTTACCTCATAGGATGGTAACGAATTTTAAATAAGATCATAGAAGAGAGGTGCTCACTAAGACTGTGCTTAATGAATCATAGTTACTGTTGTTAGTGCTTTGTGCTGGCCTCTACCCTCTTCCTGCCTCTAAGTAGAAGACAGAAAGTCGCATCCTCTTAACTTGTCTCTCACATGGTTTCACCCTGTGCCTGGTTCATTCATCCAAAGATGCAACCTCGAGAGGCTGACAACTGCGAGCCCACCCAGGGCAGAGACTGAGAAGGGATTCTTGCATTTTCCTGGAGTTGGGAAGATGTGTTCTAGATAATTGTGCACCTCTGAGTCATTGTGGGTTTTGGGCTTTCAGTGCATCAACCCCTTGCCAGCTCCTGCTCTATAGCATTTATTGGACTATTTCCCCCACAGTCTCCTGTGTAACACTTCAACTCGGTATTTTCCGACAGTTATCTCCTTTACCCCCTCTACTCCCCCTTCTTTTCCTATCCCTTGCTTCTCTCAGGTGCTCTTTGCTTCCCTCAGCCACTGTCTAGGGACCATGGCTCTGCCCATCACACCCCCAGTAGGTTGGTTATACAGCATCTCAGGTCCCTGGCTCTCAGCCACAGTGTCCTGAATCAGGGCCTCTAGGAGCTCACCAACACCTGAATGGTTTTTAGGGTGTGAAGCTCTTCCCCTAGGAACACCTTGTCCCCTCTTTGGATTTGGCGTATGCATGGGGTTAATGAGGTTAATGGTTAAAATTTATATGATGATGCATTGTGCCCCCTTCTCTGCAAAAACCCAGCAGTGGATAAAATCCAAAGTTCCCTTCTCTTTCAGGTTTCAGGCTTTGTGAAATGGCCCTGCCTTGCAATAAGCTTTCTTCACTATCAGTATCCTTGATTCCTTCAGGGAAACCAAACCAAACCAGATCAAACCAGATCAAGCCAAGTCTTTTTAGAGTGCATCCTCCCTGCCCCGGTCCACTAACTTATACATTTCTGTTTCTGCCCCTAGAGAATTTAACATTTAAGTAAAGCTGGGAGATAACATAAAAATAATCCTTCAAATTAATAATGCCAAAAAGATCAAAGCTATCAGGGGCTGGGGATTTAGCTCAGTGTTTCTGCTGCCTGCCTCACAAGCACAAGGACCTGAGTTCGATCCCTGGTACCA